GGCCTGACCAGCACGAGGACTAGAAAATGCCCTCAAGAGGAAAATAGGCACGTGAGGTAGGAAGGCTTTTGGGTATAAAGAACTGTCCACTTCTGCTGCAGTGACTTGAGCTGAGGAGGCACCTGTAGTAGATGCTTTCCTTGCAACGGGACAAGGATAGTATTGACTACAGGGGCTTACATTTAAAAATCAATAGATTTCTCACAACAATCTATGTGAATCATAAAAATATCAGAAAATCTGGGCTTGCATTCCCACGTGGGATGGCAAGCTGCTGCCCCCTCAATGGAGGTATATGCTCCCTGGTGTGCCACACTCCCCACCACTCCCTAACGTCTCTTGCCTGAAGCCAACAGTCAGGTTTTTGTTTGTTTAATTTACTTCTTAACACCCAACCCACTTCCTTCCTCTATGTTATCTGCCTGGTCCCTCGCTGAAGGAGCCTGAGTTTGTCACCTTTTAAGGAGGAGACAGGCTGCCGTTGCATGTAGGCCAAGTCGTCTCGGAGATAGCATTTGATTTCCTGGGACCAAATCCTTAAATATGAAGCTGTAACAGGAACCTGGAGGCCTCTCTTGACAGCCTGCCAGCTCTCATTATGACATTTAGCCTGTGATTGATATTGTGTGTGTCATTGAGACCTTGGCAGTTAATCTCTGGGTCGAATCTATGGAAACCAAACAGAACAGATTTGTCTTCCCTTCCATGTTGGCTGTGATCTGGGAAACAGATGCTCCTGGCCTCTCTGAGAATTAGAGAGTTGGGAGCCATGCAGAGAGGGTGCACACAGGCCGCCTTCAGGATTTGGAAAGATTACAGGTCTGTGGTTTCTGGATGGTTCCACACTTTGTTCTCTTTCCCCATCAAATCTGCATGCTGGAGGATAATAGATCCCAGGGCTCACTCTGCGTGCCAAGCTCTTCAGGGTAGACCGCACCACTTCCTCTTCTGTCTGGAAATCCAGCCGAGGCTTTCAGCACAGCGATGGAGATGGGTATGGTTCCCTCCACAGTGTAATGAAGGAAGAACAGCCTCATCAAGGGTGAGGTCAGCTTCAGTGATCAAAGGAGGCAGACAGAGGTTTCAGAATGGAATTGACCCCAGCGTCTCCTGAAAATCACCTCTTCTGAAGCTTCCATTAACCGCAGGCAGAGTTCAAGATGGCCTAAATCACCACCCTTAGGTGTATGGTGCCCAGCTTCTACTCACTTCGAACAAGAAGAGTGGGTGCCATGGATGGGCTGAGTTTCAGATCTTTAGACACTGTGGGCCTGAAGCAAGGAGAGCTATAACTACTTATGCTCTTACAGGACTGAGGGGTCTGGGCTCGTTTCTGTGAGAAAGACTTCTGGCCACTCCTTGAAATAATTTCTCCCTTCCTGACTGGAAACACAGAAGGCAGGCCCCAGAATAGTTTGGGCCTGAACGACCACCCGTGGCAGGAGGGCAGCCCGCCCTGCGCCTGCAGTCCCCTCACCTTCACCCTCCTCCGAATCAGCCTGGAGGCTCAGTCCTGCCTTAGCAGCTCTTGCTGAGCCCCTAGCACAGGCCTCACAGCCCTTAATCATTCCTTCACCCCTCAGTCACTCATTCCATTCATTCACTAAGCCACTTCCTCATCCAACCCATATCTCCTGAGTACCTCCTACGTGCCAGACACCAAGGCTACACAGAGAAGCAACACTCAGGAGTCCCAAGGTCCTCTCTCCTCCCAGCCTGCAGCTGCATTCTGGGCTAAAGACCAGGTCTCCCATCCCACTGGGACAGCGGGAGGCATTTTGAATAAGCGCCCTCACTACCTTTCCCTTGACTCTGCAGCGCCCTGGCTCTCTAGCCACATCTCAGACAATTATTATCAAACTTTACTAAGTGTCAGACTCACTTGGGAGCTCACTAAGATACAGATGCCTGTGCCCCAACTCCTGGTCCAGGGTGCAGCCCGGGAATCTGTATTTTTGGTCAGTGCCAGGTGACTCTGACAGAGGTGGTCTTCAGACCACACTTTGAGAGACTCCACAGGAGGGTCCCCTCTGCTGCCCATTGCCCTCTCCACACCCCCCCAGGAAGCAGGAAGTTGTTGGAGGAAGTCACAAATCCTGGCTTCCCACAATCCCTACAGACACACACGGCTAGCTAGTGATCCTTTAAGTCATCTGCTATGGGCTTGGGAGAATCGAATTCCCCAAATCAGTGGTGTCAACCCTTTCCTTTTAAATTTCTATCATGGAGAATTTCAAACACACCTGAAGAGAAACAGTAACCGGCCAGGTGTGATGGCTCACGCCTATAATCCCAGCACTTCGGGAAGCTGAGGTGGGAGGATCACTTGAGCTCAGGAGTTCGAGACCAGTCTGGCCAACATAGCGAGACCTCATCTCTATTTTAAAAAAGGAAAAAAGAGAAACAGCAACTGCTTTATAACCATCATCCAGCCCCAATCACCATCACTCATAGCCAGCCCATCTCATTCACACCTACATCAATACCCTGCCCCAACATTGTATTATTTATATTTTCTAACTATATTATTTTTGAAACAAGTATTTCAGAATATTTTTCTAAAAGATAAGGCCCTGTGGTATGACATTACTGTCCTCAGAATCTCCAGCAAGTCGGCTGATAGATACAGACCTGAGGACCCTGAGAAGACTGAGGTTTTTTTTTGGTGAGATGATTCCTGCCATGGTGGTGTGCTCTTCTGTCCGAAGGCATATAATGTCTGATCATCTCTTCTTATTTGTATGTGGTTGGCAGTTTATGCTCAGTCTCTGGATGCAGCAGCTCATCAGGTGGTGTGAAATGGTGCTTCCTTCTTTATTCATTATTTGGAATACTTCTATAAAAGAAAATTTCCCATATTGAGCCAGTAGTATATAGTTTGTATAAGAGAGGAGCAATACATGCAGATTCTTCTCCTTTATCTATCCATCTTCAAAATAAGGAGCTGGTTCCCAAACATCTTCCAACTGTGCATAATTAAGTTTTGGGTTTTTTGTTTTTTGTTTCTGATAGGGTCTCACTGTGTTGCCCAGGCTGGAGTACAGTGATATGATCATGGTTCACTATAGCCTCAACTTCCTGGGCTCAGGTGGTCCTTCCACCTCAGCCTTAGCCTCAGCCTCCTGAGTAGCTGGGGCTACAGGCATGCACCACCACACCCAGCTAATTTTTGCATTTTTTGTAGAGATGGGTTTTGCCATGTTGCTCAGGCTGGTCTTGAATTCCTGGGCTCATGCAATCCACCCACCTCAGCTTCCCAGAGTGCTGGGATTACAGGCATAAGCCACGCACTTGGCCTGTTCTCAGTATTATTATTATTTTGAGACGGAGTTTCACTCTTGTTGCCCAGGCTGGAGTGCAGTGGTGCAATCTCAGCTCACTGCAACCTCCGCCTCCTAGGTTCAAGCGATTCTCCTGCCTCAGCCTCCCAAGTAGTTGGGATTACAGGCACCCACCACCACACCTGGCTAATTTTTTGTACTTTTAGTAGAGAAAAGGTTTCACCATGTTGGGCAGGCTAGTCTTGAACTCCTGACCTCAGGTGATCCACCCGCCTCAGCCTCCCAAAGTGCTGGGATTACAGGCATGAGCCACCGCGCCCAGCCTTCAGTATTATTATGACTTAAGTGTTTGATGTGTTTTGATCCACTGGAATTATTGTTATTTTTCATGTTCAAATTGTTCCATTTTTGATAAATGGAAGCTTCTTCAAGTTGTATTCTGAGTCCCTTTGACATGTTCCTAATGATCTTTGAAGCCATGAACCCTTTCCTACATTCTCTGCATCCCAGGCCTGCCCCTGCTCACACTGCACCTCATCTCCCTCCCCATCACACTAAGACCCTGTGCTATAGACAGCCTCAATTCATGATCCTCTTTATCTGTAAAATGGGGTTAATGATAGGGTATTAGGATAACCCTACCTCAGTGTTGTTAAGATTAAATGGATTTACAATCATCAAGCACTTGGAACAGTGTCTGGCACACAATAGGTGTTATATAAGTATTTGTCAAATAAATAAACAAATAGCACTCCCTCCCAGTCACTCATCTCCATGGTTCTCCGTCTTCCCACCTTTTCCTCCTTCTCTCCAGTCTCAGAGTAGGAGCACAACTTCCCTTCCCAGGCTGACCATAGGTGCATCAGTTATTCAACTCCGGAAACAATCGCTGTCCAATTCCACTGCAAATTCCTCTCCTTGGGGACAATGGAAAGTCCTCTCTTGCATTCCACTGGCAGAGCCTAACGAGCACTCCAAATTCACATTTCAATCTGGAGGCACAGCTTTCTATCTTGGGGCATCTCTTCCAATCCCCTTGGTAAGTTAAGGCAATGATGGCCAGGCTCCCAGTGTGAGAGCATGAGCACTGCCTTCAGCTCTACTGACAGGTTAACTCTCACGCGGCCACGTGTCCTCCTCTCTCGAGGCTTCTGAATCCTGCTGACGTGCATGTGGCCCAGACCCAGGCCCAGGCAAGTATGGCCTTGGCGATGTGCTCTTTCCGCTGGCTGATGGCTCCCTGCAGACGCTGAGAGGGCCATGGACCTGGAATGTCAGGGATCTTCTGGGCCTTCCTATTTTGGGTCCAAAACGGCCCAAACCAGTAGGTTTCAATCAGATAAAGGAAAAAGTAGGCACCAAAGGAGTAAAGTCTAAAGAAAGGTGGGAAGGGACTGGCTGCTGCTTGCAGGATTTCTTAGTCCCAAAACCTGCCTTGGCCCACATCCAAGGACCCCAGCTCTCCTACTCTAGAAAGATTGGAACATTGGGGAAGTGTCATTTAACTGTCATCATGGTCTTCCTTGTTTACCTGGGTGGCCTGGGAAGAGGAAGCAGGGGCATAGCAGGTTGGGGAAACGCTTGCCAAATTTTAAGATTAGCTTATTCCCACCTCTTTTTGTAAAGCCTATTCCCTGCCTCAGTGTCCCTTGCTAACCCCCATCCTGCTTCTCTCTCATAACCAGCTGCAGAAAGGAGATAAAATCCCTTAGCTCTAAAATGACATCCGGAGAAGTGAAGACAAGCCTCAAGAATGCCTACTCATCTGCCAAGAGGCTGTCGCCGAAGATGGAGGAGGAAGGGGAGGAGGAGGACTACTGCACCCCTGGAGCCTTTGAGTTGGAGCGGCTCTTTTGGAAGGGCAGTCCCCAGTACACCCACGTCAATGAGGTCTGGCCCAAGCTCTACATCGGCGATGAGTAAGTGCCATAGTTAGCTGTGCCACAATTTACCCACAATTTCTCAGATGTGAACATTAGGGGAAGGAAGGAGAGGGGTGTACAGAAACTCTCTAAGGTTTTCTTCTTTGAATTCGGCTTTATTGAGAAATAATTCATAGACCATAAAGTTCACCCTTTTAAAGTGTACAATTCAGAGGTTTTGTTATATTTACAGCATTGTGCAACCATCACCACTCTCTAATTTTGGAACATTTTTATCACCTCAAAAGGAAACCCTGAACCCACTAAACAGCCACTCCCCATTCCCTACCTGCCCTTCGGGCCCTGGCAACCACCAATCTACTTTCTGTTTTTATAGATTTACTGATTTCCAGACATTCTGTATAAATGGAATATTATAATATGTTCTTGGCTTTCTTTTACTTTGCATAATGTTTTCCAGGTTCATCCAAATTGTACTTGTATCAGTATTTTATTCCTTTTTATTACCAAGCTCCATGTGACTTTTGCACTTTTCTGTAAGTCTAAAATTAGTTCCAATTAAAAAAGATACACATACATTTTGACCCAAAATATCACTTTAAGAAATGTAATTTATAGAAATAAGAGTAGCAATAATGAGAAAATATGTGCAACAATGCTTATTTTAACAGTGTTTGGACTAGCAAAAAAAAAAAAAAAAAAAGGAGGGACTGACATCTCTAGTCTTTTAATAACAAAATATTAATTAAATGTAGTAAATATTTCCTATAACGAAAGTAATAGGCCGGGCATGGTGGCTCACTCCTGTAACCGTGTCACTTTGGGAGGCCAAGGTGGGAGGATTGCTTGAGCCCAGGAGTTTGCGACCAGCCTGAGCAATATAGCGAGACACCATCTGTACAAAAAATTTTAAAAAATTATCTGGGCTTGGTGGCACACACCTATAGTCCCAGCTACTTGGGGGGCTGAGGTGGGAGGATCACTTGAGCCCAGGAGGTCATGGCTACAGTGAGCTGTAACTGTGCCACTGCACGCTAGTCTGGGTGACAGAGTGAGACTCTGTCTCAAAAAAAAAAAAAAAAAAAAGTAACATATGCTCATTGTGTAAATAGAGAAGTCTCGGTTTCCCTATTGGTAAGAGGCTAATAAGATAACCTTCCTCATGGGGCTGTATGGATTAAGTGGGATAATGTGTGTAAAATAGTACACTGCCTAGTACATAGGAAGTGCTCAGTAAAGGTTAGCTATGATAATAAAAAAAATGATAAATGTAAGAAAGATTGCTTTCAATATCCCAAAGCAATCACCAAAGGCCATTACTCCAAAGATACTCCTATTAATATTGTAGTATATTTCCTCCTAGACTTTCCGAATATTACTTTTGGTTTTGGAATTTGTTTTTACATAATTGTAACTATATTGATTATTCATTTTCTCTTATTTCTCACATAGCATCATTCATAAACATTTTCTTTTATTACTTCTTATGTATTTAATTACAATAGACATGACAATATACCAGATGAACAGAAGAGCGTTTGTTTAACTACTTCCCTATTGTTGGGCATATCAGTTATTTTCATGTTTTCACTTTTATAAGCAACACTGCAGTGGACATCTTTACACGTAATGTTTTTTTCTATATTTAGAATTATTTCCTTAGATCTGACCCTAGAAATGGTACAACTGAGGAAAGAGAGATTAAGATTTTAAGACTTAAACTGTCTCTGTATCTTTATCCATGCTGTTCCCTTTGTCTACAATGTCTTTCCCTGCACCTCATGTCCGAGTCCAGATCCTATGCACTCTTCAAAGTCCACTCAAGTCATTTCTGCCATGAAGCTAGCTTCCCCCAATCCCCATAGTGAGAAGTAAGCTTTTTCTCTGTATATTGTATACTGTATTTACCTTTCCTATGGCTTATAATAATAATAGCTAAGTTGTATTGAATTCTTAGGTGTTAGGTGTCATGCCTTGTGCTAGGCGTCATTTAGACTCCACAATAATCCTATAAAGGAGGAATCATTATTATTCCTATTTTACAAATGGACAAGTCACAGCTCAGAGAGTTCATTCATTCAGTCAGTCAGCCAATAACCGTTTACTGGACACCTTCCTTAGAGCTGCGGGGGAAACAAGGAAGAAACTGAGGCTCAGAGAAATCAAGTGACCAGCCCAAGTTCTCACCACCAGAAAGGGGTAAAATTTATACTCAAACCCAGATCAAAAAAAAAACATGGCCAGGCCGGGCGCAGTGGCTCACGCCAGTAATCCCAGTACCTTGGGAGGCCGAGGCGGGCAGATCACAAGGTCAAGATCAAGACTATTCTGGCCAACATGGTGAAACCATCTCTACTAAAAATACAGAAATTAGCTGGGTGTGGTGGCGCTTGCCTGTAGTCCCAGCTACTCAGGAGGCTGAGGCCGGAGAATCGCTTGAACCTGGGAGGTGGAGGTTGCAGTGAGCAGAGATTGCACCACTGCACTCCAGCCTGGTGTCAGAGTGAGACACCGTCTCAAAAACAAACAAACAAACAAAACATGGTCAGGTACAGAAGCTGTTTCAGAGTTGAGGAGGGAAGAAGATGCAGATGAGCAGAAATGTAACAGGGAACAGAAACAGCAGTGAGTACTGGAGGGGAAGGAGCACAGGGTTGGAGTCTTGGCTCTGCCACACAACACACCAGTGTGTGACCTTGGACAAATTATTTTACCTCTCTTCACCTTATATGGCAACAATAATAGGACTTATCTCACGGGGTGAAGTTTAATGAAATCAAACAAATGCTAGAGTATTATCTGGCACATAGTAAATGCTCAGTAAGTGCCTGGTGCTATTATGGATCTGAGAAAGATCACAGAAGACATGAATCCAGGCTCGACTTTTGAAGATGGGTAGAATTTCAAAGAAATTCCAGGCAGAGGACGCAGGATGGGAATAGCTACAGAGGTGAGAAAAGCAGGGGGATTCATCTGGAATATAGAGGATGAATGTGGTACATTTTCAGAAGGTCTAAGATTAAGCCAAATTCTACTGCTGTGTGGTCAGTTTCGATTAGCTGTGCTAGTCTAATAGCTCACCCCAACATCTTGACGGCCTGCCACAGCAAGGTTCTTTTTCACTCACACTGCAGTCCATGGTGGGCCAGCTCTGCTGCGTTCCCGGCCACTTTACTCTAGGAGCCAGGGTGACAGAGCAGCCCCGATTTGGGATCTTGCTGGCCTTGCAGCAGAGAGAAAAGAGAGACCGGGCAAACCCTAAGCTGATTTAGAAGTGACACTTGCCATTTTTGCCCACATTTCACTGGCAAAAGCAAGTCCACACCAAAGCCTTATGTCAGTGGGACAGGAAAGTATAACTAGCACAGCCGGAGGGGCTGCAAACATTCTAACAGTAACGCCATCTGGCACAGTCTTCTGGTCAGGTGCATTGGCTTTGGGCAGGTTATTTTATCTTTTTCTCAACTTAAAGAATAGTTGGCCAGGCGCGGTGGCTCACGCCTGTAATCTCAACACTTTAGGAGGCTGAGGCAGGTGGATTGCTTGAAGTCACAAGTTCGAGACCAGCCTGGCCCCGTCTCTACTAAAAACACAAAAATTAGCCGGGCATGGCCAGGTGCGGAGGCTCACGCCTGTAATCCCAGCACTCTGGGAGGCTGAGGCGGGTGGATCACGAGGTCAGGAGATCGAGACCATCCTGGCTAACATGGTGAAACCCTGTCTCCACTAAAAATACAAAAAATTAGCCAGGCATGGTGGCGGGAGCCTGTAATCCCAGCTACTCAGGAGGCCAAGGTGGAAGAATGGCGTGAAGCCGGGAGGTGGAGGTTGCAGTGAACTGAGATCGCGCCATTGCACTCCAGCCTGGCGACAGAGTGAAACTCCGTCTCAAAAAAAAAAAAAAGTAATCGACAAATGCAAATATTATTGTTACTTAACAACATATTATTACTTAACAACAACCACAAAAAGAAATCTGGAAAGGTAGGTCAGGGCCAGCTCGAGGAAGGGTAAATGACGGCCAAGGGACTTCATTCAGAAAACCATTGAATATCTGAGCAGAACCGACGTGTTCTAGTTAATCAAGTGCCAGACAATAAAATATGCTTGCCTCCTTGATGTTTGACCTTGAACTTGCTTCTTTCAACCAAGAAGATGGAAAATGTCACTGCCCTTGTAATTCAACTCTGCCTAATCGAGCCCCAATACAAGCACACACAGGTGTGTGAGGCTTGCACTCCCGGCTGGGGGCCAGAGCCTCAAGTCAGCATGGCGTGGTGCTTGTCCCTGATTTCTGTGACACTCACTTAAACAAGGTTAACAACACTCACAGATGCTTATTGCAAGAGCCGCCAATGCAGCCATGCACAGGCCATAACCTGGGCTGTTAGCCGGAAGGGCTGCCTGTGTTTCTTGGTCTTTTTGCAGGGGTTGCCCAAAGCAGCCAAAAGCTCCAAGCTGGTTCCTCGTGCATAAAACCTCAGTTTTAATTTGATATTTACATTTTGGTTAGGTTTTTCCTTTCCCTAAAAGCACCTAAGATTTTTAAGCCCAGTACCGAGGTACCAAGGCTCTGGAAGTGAAGGAGCTCAGGACTCAGGAGTAAGGTTGGATGTCCTGCAATGGCCAAAGCTACTATCTATCCTTGGAGCCCAGGCCAGTGACTGTTGGGCCCGCAGAGGGGCATATGTACCTCTAAGATAAAGCTCACTCTTTTCCCTGCTCCTTTTTGTGGAGAGAGGTCGAGTGGCTAAGCATCCGCTCTGGAGCCACAGTGTCTGGACCCAATACTGGTTTCTGTGTGGCCTTGGGCAAGTCACTCAAGCTTTGTGACTTTCAATTTCTTCACCTATAAAATGTGGATTCTATGCATTAATGCAAACAAAACACATCTCACAGTGCCCAGTACCTTCATGCACTGAATGACAAATCAGGCAGGTTCTGGAAATTCGACTCACAGTGTATGAGGAAGATAAAGAACAGTCACTGTGCCTTTCCACCCAGGGTCCCCATGCTAGGGGAAGAAGCCTTGGGAC